CTGGACTTACCACCTTCGGACAAGCTACTGTGGGGAAGAAGGTTCAGCTTGGTGATTTACTACATGGTTTGTAAAAGCTGGTAAAATATAGCTGCTATACAGCTGGAAACAAACCCAATATAAATTGGCTGAATGAACATATTTTTAGGTTAACAGATGGTATTAAACCCACTGTGTATTGAAGAAAAAAGATTCCTGTAACCGAGTGGATGCCTAACACATCAAAGCATGACTAATCTGACACCCATTAACAGCAACTTCTTATGTGGCCTCTCTAGATCACTGTGCAAACAATCCTTGCCAAAATGGAGGGACCTGTTCTCTCACTCATAGCCATAGGATGTACCACTGTACCTGTCCTGAGGAATTCACAGGCGAAAACTGCCAGATAAGTAAGTATCTTCTTCCATGAGTGTTGAGCATTATGATGTAAAATACAAGTAGTAAGTAGAGCTCATTAATGTTTGCTTAATGAAAAGGTGGTGCAGTTGTGATGGGAGAGACCACTGCAGCATGAATGTTTGTGTAGGTGGATTTCCAAGTGGTTATGACAATCCATTCCTGACAGGACATCTGAAAATAGTTTGACTGTACAATTATAAATCCAAGTATGCTGTGAGCATGAGAAACACAAAGAGCCTTTCCCCCTTCCTTTGCTGTTTTTAAGATTGAAATATCCCTTACATGTTTGGAAATTAGTAATATCTAGTAGGTAGGGCATAGAGACAAGAAAAAGCAGCAAATTTCAGGTAATGCCTTAGCCCTTGTGCATATGCACATATGGGTCTATTGTGGCTTTTCCTGTGATTTCAGCTTTGTATCTGGGCAGGTACTCCACCTTCAGGGCAGTCATTTTCAAAGCAGTCAGGCCAAAAGGCTTTGCTTGGGTTATTTTTCCAGTTTTTATGATGGTCTCACTCCCAATTTGCCACACGTCTAGCAAGGAATTTGGCTTTTACACTGAGGGTTCTGAGTTGTGCTTGCTGATGTTTAATGATGGCTTTTCATAGAATCCTAGAATCGTTTAGGTTGAAAAAGACCCTTGAGATCATACTGCCAAGTCCACTACTAGCCCATATCCTCTGCATCTCTAGACTTTTCTCCTGACAATAAGAAGCCTTTTTCAGTCCTGGTGCTTCACTGTCTCTAGCACAGTCCATCATCAGTGGATGATCTGTTAAAATGGGACAGGCACAAGTATATACCACTGATTTGACATTTTGTGTTTGCTGAATGAACTTTTGGAAGGGCTTAGGTCATGGTGATGATGTCATGCTCATAGGGCTTTAGGGGAAAGCTACCTCTGCCTCCTTGGAGCTGCTGCCCTAAGCTTAGTCCCTCCACGCTATGTAGGCTGTCTTGCTTGAGAAGCACTGTCAATGAACATGTATCTGCTCAACAGGGAAAAAAAAGATGAGCTGGGAATGATGGAGATTGTCATGCCATTTCTTGCAAGAAATAACCTCTGAAAGCTTGTGTTGTTTGCAAAACTGTGTTTCAGAGAAATGTTTTGACAACAGTCTCCATGAGTTTTTTGATGTGGGTGTGAGCTGGTCAAGAGTCCAACGAGGAGTTGTGGAGCAGTGTATATGTGTGAACGGCCAGATCGAGTGTGGGCGTGCTGCACACAAAAGTAAGGCACTATTTTGTATTAGTTATAGGCCTGCATGGAGTGGGGATGAAGGGCAGTGGGGGTATCAAAACCTGAATGGTGTTAGATACAATAATGCTGCTCTTGCAGCTCACGCACCCTCTCTAAAAGAGAACATTTTAGCTTTACTTTCCATGTGTGAGCAGTAGTGCTGACCCAAGAAATCATTTCAGTGTGTCCATCCTTATTTGAGGAAGCAATTATATTCATTGTGATGAATTTTAGGGACACACCTCAGTGTTTTCTTTGAGAGGGATGAAATCCTGATCTGCAACGTGTAAGAATATGCAACAGATTATATAGCAGAAGTGGTAAAATTTCTCCAAAACTGTAACATGCCTAAGAGGCACACCCTGCTCTACTCTTCCCCTGCACACCTACAATTGCTTCATGTTGCTGTTTCACCTCTGTGTTACTTCCCAAGCCTATCCCACTCTTGAGCTGCCAGCATGCAAACTTTACCTGCTTCCAGGGTCCCATATGGCCTGCATCGACCCCAGAGTCCTCAAGCTTTTTGGCCAACATAGCCATTCCTGGCTGGAGTTATGCTTATATTATGAAGCCTCCTCTTTATTTTGGGACTGTCAGCTACCCAACACAGCTGGCCAGCCAGCTGCAGGGCATGTGCTTGGGGTTGTCATAGAATCACAGAATCAACCTGGTTGGAAGAGACCTCAAAAATCATTGAGTCCAACCCTACCGTGGTTACTAGACCATGGTACTAAGTGCCACATCCAGTCTCATCTTGGAAACCTCCAGGGATGGTGAATCCACCACCTCCCTGGGCAGCACATTCACTTAACTGATGAAGCCAGCGCAGCACCTTCCATTTGGAAGAAGAGAAGTTGGGAAGCAAACCACATGCCTCACCTATATATATGCTCTGATATGGCTATTCAGGTTCTCAATCTGACTGACTTTTATCCTGCTCAGACTCTCAAATAAAACTTACAGTACAGATAAGTTTCATAAAGGTCTTTTGAAATAAGTAGGTGTTTTTGTTCTCACCTTACATAACTGGAAAGGAAAATATGAAGAGTCAGTGGCTTTCTAGGACATTGGGAGTCCATGGGAGAGTTGGGAAACTTGATAGGACCTAATATTTCCCAATCACAGATCTTAAATATGTAACAGATCTCCCTACTAGATATGTTATTATAAATACATCTAATTACAGTAATTATTTAATACAGCTCAGTGGCAAACCTGGAACTGGCAGAACCCTCTGTAAAGAAAGAAGTGCTGTACCATCACCATCACCACTAGTAATAATAATCACCACCCCCATTTTACCTATTGTTCATTGATAATATTTTTCAATAGCTAGGCTGACATTATCCAACAGCAGTGAAAACAATGAGACAGACCTCAGTGGGCAGAAATCAGCCGAGTTTCCTTTTCTTTAATTTATATCAAGTGTAGGTCTGAGATGAGTAAAAAAGGAAAAACTTCCCCAAAATGCATATGCATGGAGAAGATGTACTAAAGTAAGTTAAAATGGACTGATTCCCCTGAATAGTCTGCACCTTTGGTTTGATCTCTGGTTTCTGCTTGTAGGTTGTGCTCATAATCCTTGCATGAATGATGGAGAGTGTAAAATGGTTACCTTCAGTGGGAAAATCGTATGTGATTGCAAAGAAAATTATGCAGGAAAGTATTGCAATATTGGTAAGTATGACAACCTACTAGCAGACAGAATTTGGGATTTTCATCTGGGTGTGAAGCTGGTGGATTTTGCCTCTGTGTTGTATTTGGCATTTCAGGACATTTCTTTTAACAACTGAAGAATCACACAGAACAAGGGTTTAATGTATTTCTCCAGTGTAAAACATGACACACACTTCACCACTGAGACTGATTCTAAAAATCTTTTTTCATGTCCTTAACTTTATGGAAAATTAAGCTCAGGAATTTTAATCCAATTACCCATGCCCATAAGTGCCTGCTTCCATTTTGCAGGATCAGTTGCAAAGATGTACACTAGAGTAAATGCCTCCCCACAGATCCATGCATCCCCTCATAAAGCAGGGATTTATGCTTTGACAAAATCTAGCAGCTGACTGTATTATTTGGTAGCACTAAATTACTGTGGGAAGTAGACAAAGAGAAAATGCACATCCTTTGGGTTACTTTGTACACTAAATTAATAGCACATTTAGCCCAGTACAGCTTACATACAAACCGTGCTTGATCTGGTGGGTTAGGGCAGAGAAATCTGCTTTTTGGTGTCTATGTGATAGTCTTGTTTTGCTTCTTAGATGCTACATAGTTTTTTGATATAGCCTTCCTTCAGAAGACTAAACATTTCTCCCTGCAGCAGTTAAATCTGCTTGTGAAGCTTGCTTGCGTGCTAAATCCTCAATTACACCAGTGGTTACTTTTCAAATACAGCAGGTTTTAGGTCTTGATTATAATGGACCTTCTGTCATACCATCCTGTGATCCCATCAACTCACTCTCTGTGTCCTTCTGAGTACATAAATCCCATGGATCGCTAAAATTGAAGACAAGACTCCCAGTAGCCACAGTGGGCATCTAGTTGGTCCAAATGGGTGCTGGGATAAAAACCATGGTAAGGAGCACTGTAATTGGTACCTGGTGTTCTTTTTGTTATTCGGATGGTTAACAAATGGTGTAGCCAACTAGTCAAGCTGGAAAAAAAAAATCATTTGGGAAACCATTTGGGTACAGCTAGAGTAACAAATAGCAGGAGTGAATTGGCAAATTGGACAGTGTCTGAATTGATCCTGAACCTTCACTTACCAGGTACCCAATGAATCATGTGAAATGGGTTTGTGACTCTTAAGTCCTTCATAAGTGGCACTATTTTAGCTCTGTTGTTTTGTTCTTCAGTTGCCCTGGGGAGATTGCCCCAGGCTTTGGAATGCTGTTGCATGGATCTGGAGTGAGGGGCTGTGTGGGCACAGTGCACGTGTGACCTGGAGCCCTGGGCAGGGCCATGCTCTGCTCATCTTCACATGAATCTGCTTTTCCAGTTCCTATCATCAGCCTCCTGTGTCCAAAGCAGCAATGCTGCACATAAGCATCCACCCAGCAGGGCCTGGATTATAAATATCAGGATAACAGTGTTAGAGCTGTAATACTGGTTTCTGTCTGACTAGCTTAAAACAAGAAATAAGCAGGTGCTCTTTGATTACTTGAAAATAATAAAGCAAACATTTGGGTTGCTAAACAAATGGCTTTGGACGGTTACAATCCATCTGCATTCAACTGTCTAACACCCCCACATGAAACAGGAACTGAAGGATTGTGTTTATGTGTCAGGGCCTTGCAAACAAGTTTAAAAATGAAAAAAAACCCCTCTTTGCCAGGAATTAGTCATTCTAAATTAATGCAAATAAATTAGCACTCGGGTCTAGAGATCTGGTAGTATAATCACACTAGGGTAATGGCATTCTGGTGAAAGTGCTGGGAGCTTGTATTCCGAGAGTACACAAAACTGATTTTTAAATATATGTTGGGTCAATTTTTTCTTCAACCCCTCAATTTGATGCTGTGAGCACAGCTGGATTTTTTTTCTTTGTTTCCTTTGTACTGTGTTGTACATTTTCCCTTGCCTAACAGGATGGAATTGTGAGGTTGCCCTTTTGTCTGAGTAGCTAATGGTTATAATGCTTGATTCAGAGAAAGTTACGGTATCTCCAAAGTGTATTTTATTGTGAATTATTAAGTTATAGAGGCAACCTTAAACCTCAAGGTGTGGTGCAAAAATGTCTTCTTTTATCTATTTATTTTTAAAAAACAATTCAACCAATTTAATAAACAGTAAGTCTCCCAGACTCTTGTTGAGCTGTGATGTGTTTCAGGTCTCTCTGATATCCTCTGCCCTTGACTTACACAAAGAATAACCAGTCTTCACTTGTTTCTAATGGAATGTCAGCTAATTTGCCTTGACATTATACTCACAAATGTTATTAAACAAGGTGCCATCATGGGTCAGGTCAAAAGACCAAGTAGTACTGTGACTCAAGCACGGGCAAAGTAGAGGATGACGAAAAATGAACAAAAACAACAAAGAGGATAGTGAAAATAGCAGGAAATTACTGAGAAATACTCCTGGTTGAGGATTTTCTTAGCAGATGCTTGGACCACCATATCCGATAGACTTTGACCTGTTTTCCATGAATTTGTCTAAACTCTTTAGAACTCCTTTCTGCTTTTCCCTTTCACAGCATGCCATGTCAAGAAGTTCCAGAATTTAAATAGATGTGATGAGAAGCAGTATTTTCTATTGTTAACTAAAAACCTACTGCCTGGTAATTTCATTCTTCCCCTTTGAACAGTGAGTAACAGGGAATAATCATAACTTCTGTGATTTTAAAGATACCTATTTATCTGCCCATTACCTTTTTTTGGACTACAGGGTCCCTGTCAGTTCTCAAAAATAATTTTACACTGATCTTAAAATTCTCTTGCAAACAATCATTATATATGAGTGTATATATATGTGTGTGTGTATAAATATATTGCCAAGCCATTATCATAAATGACCATGCAGTGACTGCCAAATTATCAGCTGACTTTAAAAATACATGGGAGGTGATAAAAGTAACAGGAGATATCCATAACAAAGGAGACTGATATACAAAAAGACAGATTCCAATATAGATTTCTCTTCTTTGTGGGAATACATTATTTTCTAGCCCTTAAAGAACGAACTTTCAGTACTAAGGAAAGAATTGCCATCTAAAAAAAGTGTTCTGAGACTGTTTATATGTATAAGATTTCAGTGAAGTTTAATTTCAAAGAAAGTTAGATGCATCACCAACAAATCTCTCCCCAAACAGATGCTGTTTAAAATTGTTCAAGCATACATGTTTGATTAAGTTTAATTTACACTAATTGCCTTTAAAGATGCACCTATTTTCAGAAAGAAGTATTTTGCATTAAAAGAGTAGCTGCATTCTCTTTGGAAACAGAGGTCTTGCTGAGAGAGCTCTGAATTCAGGCTCCAGGTGAAGATTCAGAATTACTTATCGAACCATGAGCAGCAAGAGTTGTCCCATTGTGCAGAGAAAATTATAAAAAGGGCCCAGGCCCAGCCACTTTGGCAGTGGTAAATGTGAGCAAGAAGAGAAACATGAGCAAGAAGAGAAACATGAGAAAGATGTGAGTGGGATATTTATCTTTGGCCTAAGTTGACATAGAGAGTGGAGAGGGATTTATTTTTTCAGATACTTAACTTCAGAAATATTTAGCTTCTTTGGAGGTGCTAACTGATGACAAAGAATTGTAAATATGTAATTGTAAAATTACTTTGACATTTTATGTCTCTTTGAACAGATAGGAGCCATGGAGGAGATGTTGGGTGAACACAGAGGGACACACAGGTAAAGAAAGAGGAGTTATTTGGCCAGAGGACAGATAATTCATTATAATAAGGATTTATGGAGAAGTTAAAGGGAGTTAGTTAAAGGGAGTTGAAGGGTAAAGGAAGAGAATGTAGAATTTTTTTCCAAGGGATTGGTTCCTTTAGGTTTTGTGTGGTTGAAACTGCACCATTGCATTCACACTATTTGCCTTAGTTGATATGTGAATGGGAATTAATATATATTTTGCCCAATTTCCATGTAAGAGCACTTCCTTCTCATTACCATTGCTTTGTTACTGTTTTGGGGGTATGAGTTGTTAGTAAATTTGGGGTACTTATTTGTATTTTAAATTTATTCTTGATTTATTGGGCAATATGGATATGTCAGTGGAGTATCTTTGTTCTGTTGGATTAGTTGCCAAGTGTTTTGGTGTCCTTAGCTGGCTTTGTTGTATTACTGTGTATCAAAGAAATAGCTGGTAGTCATTTGTGGGGTTTAATACTATGTATTTCAATGTTTTGTTGTCTTTGAACTGGATTTTTATGGTATAGAATTATCTCATTCATTGGGTGGCACATTGTTCTTGATGGCTATCCAGGGATTATATCTGATCCATTTGTTGTATTAAGACTCAGCAACAGTTCAGGGTCTGCCCTTGTGGAACTATGTGTGAAATAAATAGTACTAAGTAAATAGGTGGCAGATTTTGGTGCTTTTCATGATTAAACTAATGAAGAGCTGGAAAGCAGCGCATGGAAGCTTGTTTCATATGGGAAGACTGAATTTTTGTCACTATGTTTGTGGGTTACAGTAGGTTTGAGAGTACTGGGAGAACTGCACAGAGGATTATACGGTATGAGTTTTCTTTGGATTAAGGTTTAGGGAGCAATAATGTTGTATTTTGGTCATGATGAAGTATGAAGCTGGTGAAGGTATTTTTGAAAACTCTATGTTTTCTAGTGTGTTTTGGGGTTTTGTTTGTTTGTTTGGTTTGATTTGTTGGGGTTTTTTCCCCTTATTAGGCTATGGGTAAAGGAAGTAGAGGGGTATCATAGCTTTAAAGAAAGTATGAGTTGGAATGCTAATTGTGGAAGGCTTATAGTTATGTAAGGAGATGTGGTGTATGTCAGAAGTAGGTTGAAGATTTTTAGAAAAGGAAGATGACAGAATAGCTGAATATATAATTACATACAGGAAAAAAACCCCTCTTGGCCACATCTTTGAGGGTTAAACCGGGGGAGTTCGAGGTAATAGAAATAGTAAAAATGACAGCAAACCCACCTTTTTAGTGGTTCTCTAACTGAAATAGGGTGTTTGCAGTTTTCTACTAAAAAAG